CTGCAAATTTGTTTCTCCTCGGAAATTTTTCTGAATCTGCTGTTTTGAGAATCTAGGAAATACTGTTTGTTTCATTTTCTTTCATTGTTTCATGGTACCTAGTTTAACTTCTAGTTGAAGAGCTTCTTGTTAGTTGTATGTCATATTCTTTTCAACAGAAGTTTTTGGCTTTCCATCAGTTGCTTGCCATCACGTTCGCCTTGCCCTCTTTCAATAGGTAGAATTGAAACCTCTGGTTAGCCAAGTTGGCATCATCAGGAGATGACTGAAATTTTTATAGACATCGTGTGATGGTCCTGACCTGGTTAGCGAGAACAGTATTTTTTTGCTTTGGGAAAGGTGTCTTCGATAGATTCTGTCGCTTTGTTGCATTGCTGCCAGTCCATCATAAGTCCCTATTTTATTCAGGTGTATCAATATCTAAATGAATAGTTGCAATTTTCCATAGGTCTGGAAAATATGAACGTTCAAAACAACAATTGATGATATGTGTGATATATTTATCTATAAACGGGCTACAAAGATTCAACATTCTGATTGAAATATTATCAACCCCTGAAACTTGACTTTTAATATCATTCAGGATTTCATGAATAGTTTCTTCAGTAGCGAATCGAAATGAGCAGTTATCTTGCCTGATCAAATAATTATTGCTATAAAATTCAATATTTTCATCACAATTATTAGAAACATTTTGTACGAATTGGGCAAAATAGTTGTTTATTTCATCGGGATTCGAGAGGTGATTGAGTAATGAATATTGTTTTTTTGAACGAACATTGAGGTTAGAAAGAACATCCAGGTTTTGCGTGGTATTTTTTCAGAACAGACAGACTTGAGATATGTCATTTTTTCAGTTCTAACTATTGAAAAGGTATAATTTCTCAATTCTTTATACCTCATACGATCATGTCTGTCAAACGTAGAGATTGAAAATTAATTGAAATTGGACAATTTATTATCAATATCATTTTCACTTATAATTTGGAACCACGGCAACTGGTGTAAATCTGATAAAACAGTATGCAAAGTGAAATTGTCTCTATTTTGAAATTCTTTGTTAAATAGTCAACGCAAACTAGCCTGTGATCATTCTGGTTTTTTTATATCTTCAAAATTCTTATTTGTGGACAACTACAATGTATGTAAAATGGGAAGGTACAAATCGTCTTATACATAATGTTGACATTGGAGTTCCTCAAGAGTCGGTGCTGACACCTCTAATTTTCTTTTTATATATTAATGACCTTCCTCAACATATAGGAATATCATCGATAACACTATTTGTCGATGATATATCGATACATCGAACAGAAGAAGCAAATTGCCCCCCAATTGAAAGTAAATAAAACATGTGAAAGACTTGCTACTTGGTCTAGAAAAAATTGATTAATAGCGTATGCTTATGAAAACGATTATGCTGCAGTTTTTTGGAACAAAATATATAGAGAAATACTTAAATGTTGAAGTGGATGATATAACGATCTATCTATCTATCTGCCTTGATTTGAACTACCTATATTTGCGAAAGAATGAATAACAGTTTCAAAAAAGTTTTACAGGAGCAATATCTGAGGGATGTATGTCTATATGCAATAGTACAGCCAGTCTTGTCGTATGATATTTCATTGTGTGACAACGGTTTAAATATTGACCGGACTTTTATAGCTGAAAAACAAATAATTCGTTTATATATAAATTGATGGATGTAGCCGTTAACTACGTGGTAGGAAATCATAATGAAGAAAAGAGAAATGAAACTTTCTATGTATGTTTATTGTATGAGTTTGAAAATGTCCATATAGGACGAAACTGCAATAACGNTATTTCATTTTTCTTTTTTGAGTATTTAAATAATTTTTCAAAAAAAAAGGTTGAAATGATAAGTTTAAAATGCGTTGTTTTAGAGCTCTTTTATGAAAACTACTTGATTTTCGTCAGGAGGAACATTCCCCATTCATTTCAATTGGATACTTTTTTAACTGTAAGACTATTGGATATTTTGAATATAACATTTCAACTGAAAAGTTTAAACATATACATTTTTTATTAAATTTGATTTCATCATTCAGAATCATCAATTATTTGTTGTTTTCGGTCGATTGTGAGCTCGCGCGGCACCCACTTAGAACTAAACTTTGACATACTCAAATATGCATGCACGATATGTCCAACACGTTCCTTTGATATCTTCAGAGCCTCAGCTAACCAAAAATATTTTGTGGACTTTTTTGATGTTTTCGTCGGTAACAGCCGCTAAAACACTTGTTAGTAGAAACAGCATTCATAAAACTGTCTCGATTCAGTTATTGAGTAATTTTCTTTTTCAGGAAAAGTGAATTCACTTTTTGGGGCTTGTGAAGCCCTCATGCCATTGGTATATGGCCCAATGTACAACGCTACCTACGCAGCCACCTTGAACTGGATGCCAGGAGCATTTTACATTTTAGGAGGATTTCTCACTCTGCCGGCAGTTCTCATATTTGCGTGAGTATTATTATTATCATTATTCAAATTATTGTCTCTAACAGAATTATCACTGTGATAAACTGAAACTTCCTAAACTTGCAGAACCTTAAACTAATTTGAATTGAAGGGGTTATATTTTTAGGAGTGATTAATTTTTGGGAAAGGAAGTTTTTGGCTTCCTACTACTCCATCTCGATACAAAAAAAAAAGATGAGGGAATCTTTCAAAGAAAGCAAGGAAGTAATCAATTTGAAAATAAGTAACTCTATACATGGATGTGTAGATCATGCAAAGAAATAACTTTCAGACACAAACTGAAAGAAAGTCCTCCTGAAACAGCTACTTTCATATAAACATTGAATTACACGAAAGAAAAAAATTCTTTCGAAACAAATACTTCTATATGAACACTGAATTATACAGAAGATACTTTTCTCTACTCAGTTTGTATTTCAAACATTCGTTGTGGAAAAAAAATCAAATATCATTCACATGAGTTCTACTTTGAAAGAATGGTAACAAATTGCACTTACATGGAACACTGTCGTCCTCACTGGTATACATCGATGTTTCGCCGTTATTTTACTACTTCGACACGTTTTTCGATCACCAAGTGATCATCTTCAACAGGAAGATCAAACTGAATATTCTTACAAAATCATCCTTATTTATACCATTCCCAATTCTCGACTTCGTCTTTTGGATTTCCTGAAAGGCATTCATTCCGAACCTAAACTTTTTCTTCATTATTATATCATCTACAATACCCCTCGACAAACCGTTAGTGGCTGCTATTTCCTGTATTGTACGTTTTTCTTTTGTGAACCTCTCATACGTAAGAGGAAAAGTCAAAAGACGATGCACTAAAAAATTCAGCCCAGCACGTTTGTGCTGTCCACAGTGATTGAACTGTCAGGAATATACCTGTACGTGCTTGTTTCTTTTCTAAATACATCGTATTCTAACCCTCCTCATTACCAAAACGCCAAGAAATTGTCCTTTATTTTCTAACTCATACGTGAATTTTATTGATGGAAATATGTTATTTAAAAAGGAAACAAAATCCTCAATATTCGATTTTTTTGTTATCGAATATCGCGAGAACATCATCCACATACTTTAGCCATATCTTAGGAAAATACTTTGGCTTTTCTTTTGTTTCCATTTCGAATATGTTCATGAACAGGTTTGCCGTACTGATTGTATCTATGTTCAATTATTGCGATGTCGAGACAACGGTCTACGACCGTTGTCTCGATTTCTCAACTTCTGTAAGAACTCAGAAAGTAAAAAATGCCTACATTAGACTAATATTCAGCCCGAATCACAGACATCATGTGACCTCTTCAATCAATCAACTAAATTTGTTAAAAATGCAAAACAGAAGATACTTCCATTTTGCTCGTTCCATTCACGAGCTGATTCAAAAACAACAACCCATTCTTTTGGTAAAAAAAATTCTTCGTAGACCCCACTACAGCACTATTTATGAACGATTCTTCACGTATGATCTTTGAAAAATGTATTACTACTACTCAAAAGTTAACTGATATTGTTTTGCTATGTTACTGATCTGTTGTATTCATTTTACTATTGTCCTGAAATTGGTTTATATTATGCCATTTATTCTGTAGTGTTTTTTCTCCAAAGTGGCTGGGTGGAAGAATAGCGCTTTGCCAAACTCCGCCACGTAAAATAAAGAACATTCATTAATATCATCAATAATACTGCTGGCATATGTCACATATTACAACTCCAGAGACTATTGCTTATTGTTTAACACCAATACGTATTTTCAGATGGATGTATGTTCAACACCGTAAGGAACGAAAAGAAGTTAAAATCGCCAATCTTGAAAAAAGATCCAGCATTTCTATTGTAGCTGACGTCATCCTGTCCACTGTCCCAAAAGAGGCTCAAATAGGTTCTCCAATAGGTTCTCCTATGATGAACGGTTACAGAAAAAACGCGAACAAAGCAACCTTCGAAAGAAACGGGGTTATCAGTGGAACAATGGACAATCATTCTATGGACGTGACAGATCATTCGAAATCTGAGACCACCGGAACTAACAAAGATGGAATTGACAATGCAGCCTTCAAAATGGAGGAATGAATCAATGGCACCATTCGTGTCAGTTATTTATTTATGTGATAATAGACTTAAGTTATATACCTAATTAGAATTAAGTTTTATGTATCTAGAATATACCAGCATTTCTCAAAGATAATCCGATACAATGCATATTTTTTCTTGTGATATTTTGATATTCTGTCTGTATTATTCCTGTTCGTCACTTCTGTAGAGATTAAATGAACTGAATTCAGTATACAGTGACGTTTTAATTAAACTCGCGGCCATTATTATGATGTGCAAAAAATTCGTCATTTTGAAATACTCAAGCGCGTCAGATTAAGATATATATGGTTCATCTTTATATTCTAGACGTGTTGTCTCATAATCTAACGATTATCTAGAGGGATTCGCCTAATCTGACGAAAAAATATTTTTTTTTATTTTTTTTAAATCATTGAGAAGCTCAGGAAATAGCATACACATAAATAAGTGTATGTTTTATAATCAATTGATTCATCAATCATCATCTTCATATTCATCACGAACGAGTCTCTGTGATCAGCTATGATGGCGTCATGTCAACAGAATTTAGAGTGGGGACGGAGTGAAAGAGTAATAGATAGAGAAAAAGTGAAAGAGGAATAGAAACTCAGAGAGGGAAATATAGGTTTCACACAGCTGCACGCATTAAACTTTCTCGAAGAATTTTTGTTATTTCGGCTTACGGAAATCGTCAGGTTATATATTTTTCGTTATTCTTGAATTATTTCCTTCAAAATAAAAAAAAATTAGCTACGCTCGAGAATGTCGAAATGACGTTATTTTTTTACAACTTTGCTGCCCTCCCCTTTCTTTACGTCACTCTCAAATTGTCAGATTACTGGAATACACACTTTTTAGCATGTAATTAACTCACCCTACCTTAATCTGACGCGCTCGAGAATTTTTGATGATAATTTTTTTTTACTAATCTGATCCTTTATCCTTCGCGGGCGGCCTAATATATAGGGCTCATATTTGGTGGAGGTACTTAACCGGGTACAAGGTACCCCCTGTATATTAATCTGCCGCGCTTTAGTAAATCTCCAAATTTCCGCTTGGGCTCTCCTATTACTAGAAAAAGTGTTACTATTACAAGATGATAGCTTTGGTAGGAGACCAATTTCTTTATTTATGCAGATGATACACAAATGATACATCTTTATCAATATTTGCCAGCAAAAACTTTAAATGTGGCTCCAAATCAGACGCGTGAGCTGTAAACAAAACTGTAAACAAGTCAGAGAAAATATGCAGATTTTTTATCAAAGAATAGTATTTACAATCTGTCTTAATTTTATGATAAATGTTCGAGTCATTCATGTAATTGTGTGTACTTAACCTAATACTTTACGTATTAGGTTAAGTACATTGACTATTTCTATACAAATTTGAATCGATGAAGAAAATACTTACTACGTGGTAGGAACGCATTATGAAGAAAGTGATACTATTACAGAAATATCATGATGATCATGCCAGCAGACTCTTGAAAAATAATTTATACCTACTTGGGTGACATTGTCTGAAGAAAGGTGGTCTATAAAATTTCTTGAAAAATGTTTTCCCTGTTTTCGAGCACCTCAATACTTTGTGAGAATTTGAAGATCATTAAAGCTTCGAAACGAGTGAATTTAATGCTTATATAGTGTTTATCAAATATTTTGTCATTTTTTTTTATACAACAATCCGTATATTTCTCATTTTTAAATGTTCGGTAAGACTAGTTGTCAGAATTTTGAAAAAAAAATTGACATTGGTTTGGTAAAACAAATGAACTAATAATTTCAAAAATGATTTGCTGAAACAGGATTCTGATCGAATTGTTGCATTTTTGATCACGTGAATTTAATCTCCAGTGATTCAAATCTAACGTGAATCGTTACTTTCTCACAGGCACCGCTCTCAAACACCTTACGCATTTTCCTGTGATGCTTTTGTTTAGTCCTTATTGAAAAGAAACCAATGATCAACATTACAATGATAATGTTTCAAATGAAGAGTCATACGAAATGTCAAATGCTTGACAGTCGTTATTCGGATTTTTTCATTGTTCTTTCAGTATCAGATGTCTTTGACAGTGATTTGTAGGTTAGGTTGTGAGATGGATAATCAATAAGAGTTATTGACTATTCTTTAAACGACATTTTTATGGAGGACTCAATATTTTATACTGTTTTTCTGGGTTCATAACCTACCACAATCTGAAAAAATAAAAGATAAATGAAGTTGAATCTAGTATGTGTGATTGATGACATGTTTATTTCATGGTAATTCATGATCACTTCAATGAAATGGATAAAATACGTTTGTCTAATTACCACTGGTATATTTTATTTATAGGACCGGTTTCGGGTTTGACACCATTATCAAGTATAAAACTGAAACCTCGGTTATATAGAATTTTCAGGTATGCTGCAAGACAGGTAGTTGGGCGAACCAGAATGTCAACTTTAAAATTCCACACTGAAAATTCTAGGGGTTGTTAAACTTATAAATTCAAAAGAGGAGACCTATATAAATCGAGTTGCTCGTTTAGGGGTGTATATTTCTGGCTTTTGATTAATTTGTCAATTTCCATGGCCTCCATTTTTTGGGGGGGAAATTTGGAGAAGAATTTTCATAGTTCTTCACCAATTCTTTATCAGTGGGTTTATACCACGACACAGTAAAATTAATATTCATTGAGATATGGAGCTACAAAAACACACAACATTGTAACAACCATAGATTGAAGTATGTTATACCTTCTGGAAAACAGACATAGCTAGGTGATACCGATCCTGTATGTGCAAAAAAATCATTGAAGGTTGGAAAAAGCTATTGGTATATCACTTCAATGTTGAAGATCATCATAAAAATTGAAATTCAATAATCATCAATAATGGGATGAATATAAATGAAAAAAAATCGAAAGGTCTATGGAATAGCGCTAAGAAAATTTGCAACAAATTGAAACCCAAAACCGAAATCATTGAAATGAAAGTGGGAAATGCAACTATCATTGCAAAATATTGCAAAGGTATTTAATGAACTTTCTAGAAAAACAGGAAAAAAGTAGGTAGTAAAATGGAAACACCAAGCAACTTCAATGAAAAAACGATGAGAAATATTCATTGCATGTTTTTATTCTCTACAAATGTCGATGGAGTTTTATACACCATCAAACAATTGAAAAAAATAGAGGTCTCAATGCAAAACCGATGACACATATATTCAATCGATGTTTCAGGAATGAAATCTTCCTAATTATTTGTAAAACCAGTGTGTTGAAACATTCATATAAAAATAATGATAAACTCCTAATTGTCAATTATCTACCCATCTCACTTATGATTGATGTAGCCAAAATATTGCAAATAAAGAAAAATTCACGAAAAAACAAGATCTTATCTGTAGTACCAGTGATAGCAAATTATAGTTCCCCACTTTTTTGNTGCAAATAAAGAAAAATTCACGAAAAAACAAGATCTTATCTGAAGTACCAGTGATAGCAAATTATAGTTCTCCACTTTTTTGAGATATCTTTGTCGGGGGAGTTAGGTATATTTGGAATTGTTGTCGGGGATACCAGTTGAGTTATTGAAAGATTACCTTTCGAATATTCTAGGAAAACATCAGTATTTATAATGATGGAGCTCCGCCACATCACAAAACTACGAGTATTTGCAGAGATTTTCTCAATAGGAGTATGTCAGGACGATGAATAGAAAACAATGGTTCCATTGAATGGCCACCACGTTCTCCTGGCCTGGCCCTTCTATACTTTCCAAGACAAGGAATTCAGCTCCACCTTTGGAAGTATTGCCGAATTTAAAGAAACAATAAGGAGGGCTTGCATGGCTATAAAACCACAAATGCTGGAAAATTGCCATAGAATAATATTCCAAGAGAGAGTGTGTGTTTAAAGAACTATGGACGGCAATTTGAACATTTAATGAGATATCATGAACGATGTAGACGGTTAGGAGTATTTCGACATCAATTTTTTTCTGTATGTTACTTTGTATATCACATGATTTTCCGATATGTAGAGTTCATGTATAGCTGTGAGTTCTAGACCCAAAAAATGTGGTCCTTACTTCTTTGAAATAGCTCTGACTAGGAATTGTATGATCATACATTGATGATGAGAAAGACGTCGATAAGCACATGTATTGTAAATTATAGCTGAATTTATTATTATAGTGCCTTTTTCATTTCATTCGAAATAGAGGCGGTAGAGCTGAATAACAAAATTCGAGCATTCTAATTTCAAAACAACAATCGATATTCTCGATCTGAAAAGAGATTCTTCTAGTTCCCAAACGGTTTCGAAGGTCTCACTATTTCTGGCCTTATTAAAAGTACAAGTTTCTGTTTAGTGAAATAATCAACAAATGTATCAGCTTTTTTCTATATCAATAAACATTCCAAAGTTCAAAATAATCTAGATCCATTCCATTAGAACGACCATGTATATAAACAATAAACGATGCATTACATAACAACAACAATAATGTACAATAAACATTTGTTTGAAGTTGTTGCGATCCGGACAGGGATTTCGGTGGGGAGTTTGCAAAAATAATGGTGGGAGCCTTCGAATCGAAACATTCTGGCGAATTTCAACTTTATTCAACCTCATTCATGTTCCATCATTTTCAGTACGTCGTACAACTTGTCCAGTGCACCTCCAGTTTCAACGAAAGTCTCGTTCAATCATGGGTAGTGGGTCCACGACAAATTGTGTGTAGGTGAAATTTCAGTACCACAAAGTACTGTTGGAATTTTTAATAAGGTAAGTATTTTTTTCGAATCAGGTTCAACATCGTTGGATTGATTCAGTCTATGAAGGTTCTGATGAATTTCAAGATGGTAGCATTCAGCCACATAATTTAGTGGTGCACCTTCTGTCTTCCTTCTCGTTAGTCCACAAGAAGCGTCTCAGACTTTCAACAGTTACTTCTAACAATCAAATTTTCATTTTAAACATACTGCAACTGAAGAAAACGAAAAGGGAGTTGAAGAAACACCAATAAAACAACCTAGAACTGAAATAAGTTTTCAATAATTTCAACAGCAGATAAGTACGATTGTATACTGAGATAAGGCTAGTCTTATGTGAACAACTACACTCCCCCTACGAATGACAACCCTCAGAAGTTGAGGTTTATGTAAACTAAGGTGTAACAAGGTCTTCTCTTTCAACGTGAGGGTCGTAGCACGATTAGAAAGTGGAAATCGATCGTCCGGCCTCTGGGCTCAAACCAACGGGTCACACAGCAAGCAGTCGATTGAATGAGTCGAGTGAATCACTGACGCCATTCCAACTGGATAGCATCCCTCTAAAGTTATAATGGGTCTTTGCCCATAAATCAGGCTGAATGGCATCGGTTATATGTTAGCTTTGAGGACCGTTGTGGTTTGTGGCTCATTCGCATACACCTGTGACTTGAGAAAACCCCCAAAAAAGAAAGTCAAACAGGGACAAATCGCATGATCTCGGTGGCCAGTTGTCATCACCTCCACGTGAGATTACCATACCCTTGAATCGCTCGTGCAGAATATCCAATGTGACATGAGCTGTGTGACACGTAGCTCCGTTCTGTTGAAACCACGTGTCATCCAATTCAGGCCAAAAGAAGTTGATAACCATGGACCTATAGTGCTCGCCGTTGACAGTTATGGCCTGGCCAACGTCGTTCTCGAAGAAATATGGACCGATGACTCCGCCTGCCCAAAATCTACACCAAACAGTGAATTACTAGGAATGCATTGGATCTCTAAGGATTGGTTTCGTCCCAAATTCGACAATTTTGTTTGTTCACGTACCTATTCATCCAGAAATGGGCCTCTCCGCTGAAGATGATTTTTCGATGAAAATTAGGGTCAGTTGCCAACTGCTCCAGAGCCCATTCAGCGAACACACGTCGTTGTCTATAGTTGTTTACCTTCAATTTCTGGGTCAATTGAATTCTGTATTGGTACAGGCCCAAGTCACGGCGTGAAATTCACCAAATTGTGGTCCGTAGAAAGCAGAGTTCTTGTGAGCGACGCGCCATCGACTAGCTTGGATTCTCCTACAGACTCTCACAGCCAGCGACGATGTTTTCGGCGGACCTTGCGTTTCGTCGACGTACGGGTGTCGGTCAATCGTTTACTGAAACAGTGGACTCAAATTCATTCGCCACATTGCGAATGGGCAAAGCGCGCGGTAGGTTGCCCGAACAGAACACCCATTTTGATAAAACAATTTTATTAATCTTCAACAAGATGGCCGTTATCAATTGTCAATTCGAAAGTCTTTGTTGGAAGACCCTATACATTAATTCTCACGGTGGTAAAAAATAAAGGAAGTAATAAATATCATCGACATCCTAAGCACAACATCCATTATTGTGACTTGAACTGACTTCAAGAAACCTATTCTTGGTTAAATAAATTTTGCGATCTATTTTGTCGGTTTCTGCAATTATTGTAGTGCCATCTTTTTTGTCCAAAGTTGGCAACCGTTAGCAGCAGTGGGTCTTCCGGAATAAATTGATCTACAATGAGAAAAACGTTACTGGATATGAAAATCTGCAGCTTGAGGAGGGTTTATGGGGACTCAGCTTTCCCCATAATCAAAATAATATCACTAGTACACCATTCAGTCGTTTTATCACGCCTTCCCAGTTCAGATTTGGGTGATTTTCATAGACTTTCCCTTTTACTTGATCCGCAGCTTGAGATGAACCTGCAAATTTGTTTCTCCTCGAAAATTCTTCTGAATCTGCTGTTCTGAGAATCTAGGAAATACTGTTTGTTTCATTTTCTTTCATTGTTTCTTGACACCCAGTTTAACTTCTAGATTGAAGGTTTCTTGTTAGTTGTATGTCATATTCTTTTCAACAGAAGTTTTTGGCTTTCCATCAGTTGCTTGCCCTCACGTCGCCTTGCCCTCTTTCCATAGGTAGAATTGAAACCTCTGGTTAGCCAAGTTGGCATCATCAGGAGATGACTGAAATTTTTATAGACATCTTGTGCTTTGGGAGTGGTGTCTTCGATAGATTCTGTCGCTTTGTTGCATTGCTGCCAGTCCATCATAAGTCCCTATTTTATTCAGGTGTATCAATATCTAAATGAATAGTTTCTAGTGAGTAGCCCCTTTTATATATAATACGATGTAAATTAGTTCTTGATTCACAAATGCTTGTTCTGTACAGATTGGCCCTGAATTGCCATGAACAAATGTCAGTTTTATTTGATTATGGTAATAATTAAGAGGTTATTGTTTAGGCTGGTCAAAATTATCGTCAGTTGTGTCTTGGTTGGCCGAGATCGGAATTTTCATCAGCTGTATCTGTTGATGATGTCATTTCCTATTGACGATGGTTCTTTCACCTGCAGTATTCGTAGCAGAGGCCTCTCCGCTTATTCTTCTTTGAGGTTTGTCAGACGATGTATTTTTTTGTAAGGAAGTCCTATCTTCGAGTTATTTGTTGAGAGGCTTCTAAAGATCAAAAAAATTAATTTTATTGAAACCTCGTAATACAACTAAGAGGTAGCAAGTCAGACTGAATATTGGGTATCAGAAACATCCACTTGTTTCACAAAAATGTTACCAAAAATGTCTATATGTGTCTGCTGAATTCGTTTCTGAGTTATTTGATAGACAAACAATAGGAATTCAGATTGTTCAACAATCAGAGAAATGTCATTAATAAATTATTTGACCGTGAACATATCTATCTGCTACTTGTCCATCAACGTATTTGTACAACAAAAATATGGAAATGTTTTTACACTCAGGTAGTTACTTCTGTGGTTCAATCTTCACATACATTGTTCATCAAATTATTCTCCTGTCTTGAAATCATGGACGAAAAAACAAGAGTTTTCTTACAGTAGGCCTTATTCCGTGGCAACACTTACATTTGTGGTACCTAAGTGTAAGATAAAACGAACATCATGGATTCATAAAGAAAAGATAGATGATGAGATTTTAGATATGAGTAGTGAGACATAATTCAAAATCAAATGATGTGAAACCAGTCTGAGGAACTGAAATGAACCATTGACAAGGGACGCCACGATTCAAAAAAATCTGTAATTTTTCAGTATTTTTAGAGAATCAAAAATAAATTTAGTCTTCTAGGATCACTGTTTAACAAGTTTGTTTGTCCAAGCTAAATGAGTCAGTGACCCGTATTACTGAAAGTGATTCGATTTTTTTTCGCTTGGCCTTCACTTTTTTGAACAGTTGTTGATCTCGTTTCACTCTTTCACTCCGGTTTTCGTGAAGCCCATTCATGAAGATACTCCAACTGAAATATTCACTTTTTTATGAGAATATGAACAGTGAAAACGATTATAATACAACTTGTTGATACTTAACCGAAATAATATCCATATTAGATAATGTACCAGGTCAACCCTGTCCTTTCGTGAAGAAAAACTTCATCTGAAAGTTTATCACAAACCAGTAAATAGATGATCATTAACCTACATTATTGATAAGAACCTTGTGGAAACTGAGGATGAAAAATGTTCAAATAAGTGGAAATACTACACGAAAAATTATTATTAGACCGTAAGGTTGCAATAAAATCATCGTTGGCAAACATGATTTGTATTTGATATAATATTATCGAACCGCCGCGGCTCCGCATGGGTGCAATATTGATACTAAATATAAATTCACCTACAGGAAATTTAAGGGCATAAAGGAACAGTGATGAAAAGATAATTTTGTTTTATGGACGCAACTTTTTTCCCTGCAGCTGGCACCCCAGTTGTAATGTTTGAAAATCCTTCCTTATTGCACATCTACAACATAGAACGAAACTTCATACACCATGTCAGCCTCCGAAATTATAGCGGTTCGGAGAAACAGTGATGAAAGGGTAATTTTCAAATGTAAACGCTCCCTTTTATTCCCAGTGGGGACGCCCCGGTTGGAATATTCAGAAATCCTTTCTCATTGCACATCTACAACATAAAACTAACCTACATACAAAATTTCAGCTTCCGAAAATATAGCGGAACGGAGAAACACTGTTGAAAAGGTAATTTTCATATGTAAACGCGCCCCTTCTATCCCCAGAGGCGGGACCCCAGTTAGAATATTCAAAAATCCTTTCTTGTCGCACATCAATAATGAAAATCAAACCTACATATAGGGTGTAACTGTGTGTAAAACATTCAAGGAGGTGATTCCTCATCGAAAAAAAGATAGGATATTTCATATAAAGAAATTTCTATGGAGCATCCCTTGTTAAGATACAGCTCCTTAAAGGGGGTACATACAATTTGTATAACAATTTTTTTCACAATCACTAAAAAAGTTACATTATTGAAATCAACCTGACGTTTTGTACTACCAAAAAGACACTTAGCCAGAAATTTATTTGGTTTACCCCATTGTTGTAAGGGGTGGAAAACACAACCCCTAAAATTAATTTCCAATGTAACTTTCTGTCTTATTATGTGTTTACCACTTAAAAATTTATTTCCGATAGCCTGTTTCTTTCTGAACAAAAAGTTTTTCACGAGTTTTTTGCCCAAAATAAACCAGTTCGCAGCAAAAAATTATTTTACATTTTAAATGGTAAACAAATAATAAGACAAAAAGTTACATTGGAAATAAATTTTAGGGGTTGCGTTTTCCACCCCTTACAAC